TAATCCTCTATCATTTCTCTTATTCTTCGTGACCATGGAAACCCAAATTGATGGATATTGGTTTTCTATAGCTAATGTTCAAAGATAATATCTACAACTGTTTTTGGACAAGGATAACCCAGTCAAAATGGTCGTCACCTACTCTGTAGAATCCTATATCTATCCCGTTGTATTAACATCTCTTGCTTATTTTGTGAGATAGGATAGGAACTTCTTCCTCACTTCTATTTCTCAATAAACATTCTTTCAAAATCTTGATGTATTCATTTCAAAAGTCGTAGTTTCATAATTCCATGTCTTCTTTATTTTGGGTAATTCTTTAGCGTCTTATAATATGTTGAAACTCGTCTTCTTCCCCATGTAGATATGGTTAAAGACAATGCAATTAGCGCCTATTTTTGACTTGAAGGATCAGGAAGTTACCACTAGTTGTAACTTCTTTATGATTTCTTTTGAAAATGGGGTAACTACGTACTTATACGGTGTATAGACAATTTAATTCTATATCTGATTGCATTTCATGACCAGATGTTGGATTCTCTTATGCTGATTGTATATGCTTCCTTTTGACCATGGAGTAGCTACATAAATATACTGTGTATATGGACTGTTTAATACTAGGTTATCAGAATGCAACTTATATAAGGTAATTGATTGTAACGATCCTATCCGACCCCAAATTAGTGATGGTGTATTTGTTGACTGGAAAACAAATAATAAAATAACTCTTACTGTTTATTATAAAAAAGACAATGAAGATTACAATTAAGAAAAAACAAATAACAAAACAAATGTCAGAGTGCGTTTTTACACCGTCTCCGATTGTGTCCTGACCGACCACATCTACCACATTTTACTGTTGATCTCTTTTTAACAAGAGCAACAAGTCTCTTTTTTCGTAGCCTACCAGCAGAGCGCTTTACATTTGGAGGGAGGATGTCTCTCTCATCTTGACCAACTATTGACGCCATGTTGTAAGTCTGACCAATTGGATGTATGTCACCCTGCTATAATAATTATAATGTTGACACTTGATAGAAATCATGAACAAACGTATTTAAATCCAATCCTTTCTGACCAATAGCAAGACATACATGTGGGCATGAGATCAAGTTTAAGTCTCATTGTCTATAAAGCTAATTACGGACATATTTACAATATTCAAATATTTACACTTTTGTCGATGTATAGGCCTGTTTAAGAGGAAGTCCAAGGGTAAATTATCAACTTTTTGCCCACAGTGATATTTTTTTAATAAACGAATACACCATTTTATAAAAGTAAAACATGTGAAATTTTTGGCGTCATTTAAGCTAGTATTTTTATTTATTATTAAATGTTTATATTTTAATAAATCATTCAACAAATGTAGAAAGTTTTAAATTCCATAATTCTCATCCATTTGGGTTTAATTACCGAAAACGGCCTCTAAAGTATTCACCACATATTTGTTTCTATTTTTCAATAAAAGCTTGCGATTTCACCTTGTTCACTACTATTTGATTCTTCCTTTCTTGCAGCTGCAACCTACAGTTTATGTTCTTAATTGTTCCAGCGACTTTATTTCATTATTCTGATGGTTATTTCTAGTTTTTCCATAACTCATCCATTTTCCCATGGCACATTAATTTGTCTAGCGTCTTAATTCCCTTTTCCGACAACAACCCTTTAATTTTTCGATGACTTATTTCACTTTTCTAGCGACCATTAGTTTTCTAATAGTTGAAAATTCCAGGTACCATTATATAATTATTGTGGGTAAAAGATAACAGCATAGACGAACCGCGCGGGCCGAACCGTGTGGGCCGACCCGTAAGTGGTGGGCCGAGCCGAGCAAGGGTCGGCCCAAAGCCGAGCTCCGCCCTCTGTCTTTCGGTGGTCGGTCACCTGCGTACGGGCCTGCAGAATCTGAAACCTAAGGTGATCGATTACGAAACTCTAGGGGGTCATTCAACTATAAATAGGGAGGGGGTCACATCTCCAAGGTAAGCCAAGACTACACCTTCAAGTCTCTTGCTTGTTTGAGTAATCTCTCCCTTTGCCAACTTAGGCATCGGAGCCAGTGTGACTGAAGTCACATCGGGTTAGAGTTTTTGTTCGGTTTTGTAGGTATTCGGTCCTGAAGTATTCGAGTTGGTGCAAGGAGCGGAGAGAATTGGTCTACCAGAATCCCAGCATCAACATTTGACGTCGTCTGTGGGGATGATACAAAGCACGTTCGAACAAGCAAACATGAACCCGGAAGAGAGCTCGCGGAGGAGGTTGAACATGGACGACCCCCTGAGTGGAGGCGTTGATGCTGAGCCGAGTCGAGCCCATCTAGGGCGTCGAGAAGGCTTGCCAGACGATCTACGGGCCGAGATACAGGTGCAGTCCGAAAACCAATTTGTTGTCCTGGAGGAGAAGGTCAAAGGGATGTACCAGCGCTCGACCTAACTGCTTCAACAATTAGAGCAGAGGGAGGCAAGCCTACCACCACTCGTCAGAGACCCTCGGAAGGGAAAAGGGCCGACGCTGAGTGAGGCAGATGAGTTGTCAAACACAGCACATAACAAATTAAAACTGGGGGGAAACGACAGGTGGAGGACTCAGATCTTTGACTCTCAAAGCCAGCCGAATGTTGACAAGGGACGACGCAAGTCTTCAACACCCACTGGGGGCAAAGATGAGCCGAATACCCGAGGAGATCTCGGGCAAGGGGACTTCGACAAAGAAAAGCCTGGAGAGCGGCTCGAGTTATCTAAGAAGCAACTAAGCTGTAAAGAGAAAGGCTTTGACCTGGAAAAACTAATAGATCAAGCAGATTCTCCGTTCACAGAGAAGATAATGGGGGAGAAAGTCCCTCCAAATTCAAGCTACCATTTCTAAAACAGTTCGATGGAACGACTGACTCAGTTGATCATCTTGATGCTTACCGAGAATGGATGGACATCTACGGGGTTTCAGAGGCAATCTGATGCCGCGTTTTCTTCTTTCACCCTGGGTGGATCAGCTAGGGTTTGGTTTCGACAATTAAAGCGAGGGTCGATTTCAAGCTTCAAAAGCTTGGCCAGGGTGTTTGTAACCCAGCTTATAGGAGGTCGGA